AGTGTAGAGAGATAATAATATATATATATATATATATATATATATATATATATATATATATACACATACACATATATATATATACACGACTACGTTCACAAAATAAGTATAAAATGATATTCAGACAGCTTAATCGAAATGAAATGGACTAAAAAAACGGAATAATCAAATGAGCGAGATGGCGATTAATGACAATGTTAACGACTGGTGAATAATAATAAAAATGGTAAATATCTTACAAGTGCGCTTGCAATTTGTTGGGAAGAGCATTCTCTTCCTTTCCACTACCAACCAACCACGCCATGCAGAAGAATGTAGAACAGTGTAGACAGAAGTGGGTAGAAGATTTAATACACAAATGAAACAAGACAGCAGTTAGGTGATTGTTCCGGCACCATTAATTAATTGATAATAGCTTATTCTTTGATTTGCAATGCTCGATTCGCATTACTTTCCGTCGAATATGAAAAGCGACATTTTTACTAAATAACCACAGGTGAAATGGTTGACAATTAATTATGTAAACAAGAAAACCATTACGTACAGCGACAGCAATATTTTTAACATCTGTCATCACGAAAAATATTATCTCTAATAATCCGAATCGGGATTGCAACAACTTTTTCACTACCATCACCAAATTATTTTCGTATTTTTACGATTTTGCAAAAATCAAGACTTATAATTTTTTATAATAATTTTACACAAATCATTGACTATGCCGCCGTTTACAACATCCGTAAATTAAATGACAATATACAGGGTGTTCCCAAGAAATTTTAATTAAAATTAACATACATTTGTATATAATTATCTATAAAGTTAACAAAATATCTATAAAATCAAAGGTCTACAATATAAAATTATAATAAAAATCTATAAAATCTAATATCTACGGGTTGAAAAATTTTACATTATTTTTAAAATATTTGAATGCATTTGAAATATTTTTCGATGATATTTAGCATCATTTCGTCGCTAGAATATGGAAATTCGAAAAAAATAAGAATGCAAGATCTAAAACTTAAGAATTTTGTAAAACAAAATTCACAAATTTATGATCTAAATAAAAAGCGAGATTAGGAAAAACTGTATCAATGGTGTTTTTTAAACATACAGAATGGCGCACCCTGTATACGACAATCTGTGTAATCGTATGATATACTCGTGTATATCCTAGGTATCACAGCAATACAGTGGTGTGTCGAACGAACGAAATCTGCGGTCATTCCAAACATAGGAATCAAAACCAAAACCAAAAAATCAGCATGGCCGCCAAAAGATGCGTGACAACAAGATCCGCGTTCGGGAGATCTCTTTAAGCAAGTAAAGCTTGCGAACGTGTAAACCGAAAGCATCAAACAGACATCTCGACTGCTACTCTTCGACGGGAGGATCAAATCTCGAATGTGACGGATAACGGACGGACTCGACTGGTATACGGTATATACAATTCGCAATTTACGATGATTTACTAAAAGAATGAAACAGGCTACCAAGGACTGTGCTTACCTTGCGCTAGCCAATCGGGAATGTTCCTTGCTTTTCATGGCCACGGTGGTGTTTGCGTGTCGACACATCATATAGATCGCCATCGATAGAAATACCAGATTTGCCTGCAAAAGATGATGTTGAAATTAAATCGACGTTGCATTTTGGATGTTACCATAATAAAGTTGAAAAGCTCAAGGAAACGTCACATTGAAATGAACAAAACAAACAGTTTTACATCACCAGTACTAGACAACGTTGTTTTCTTGAGCCAATTGGTCGCACAGCTTTCATTTAGTAAATATAAATTACCAGTATAAATCTATAAATTACCAGTATAACGAGTATCACAGGTCCAACAAAGCTGAAGATGAAATAATTATCCGCACGCAGCCAGCAGTACCGATCGGTACCGTAGCTGAGCGGATCGATTATGCATGAAATTGCCACGACCAGCAGCGGTGCGCCATATGCGACCAAATAGTACCATCGAAGCCGCGATTTTTCTGCTTCGAAAACCTCGATCAGCATAACGTATAATTGAAATCCTGTAATGCGATACGACAAAATCATATAGATTATTATAACGATAAAATATAAATTATTAAGTACAGTGTGTAAGTAAAGCAGCTAAGTTATACATAATTTACTTACCTTCAAGGAACATCCATGCGAACGCGCAGAGAAAGAAGAAGTGCAACAAGCCGGCCACGATGCCGCAGACGATCCTCTGATTAGTTTGGCCGATCCCGCAAACAAAGAGTACCTCGGCAATCAGCAGGCACACGCAGAGATTCTTGTGGATCGTCGTCCTGTCCGACTGCAAATCAGAAATCGGAGAGAGTGACAAAAAAATTCCATCTCGCCGCGATTGAATGCCGATCGATCAGCGCCCGCACAGTTATATACATTACCTTCAGTCCGCGAAATAATTGAAACGTGAGAATGGCCAGGACGAGGCAGACGACGGAAATGATGCAGCCTATATACGTGATGATCTGCAGGGCGACCTGATGGGCGATGTCCAGCCTGACGGCGTACACGTCCATCAGCACGGCGAAGTTCGTCAGGTGATTGCATTCGCACACCGTATGAGTCTCGTTGGTCTTTTGTATCTGGCATCCCTCGTCCGACCAGGCGCTGTGGGAAATAAGGTATTGCGTGTAGAGGAGGGGTCATTGTTCGTGTTATTGCTAGTTTTGCTATCGAGTACACGGGATGTACTCGGAAACCGCGCGAAACTAGCTTCAACTACGAATTTCTGACTTTATATATATATATATATATATATATATATATATATATATATATACTACTAT